GGTAACAGGATAAAGTAAGAAGGATTGATCTAGAGTTCAATTTGACTGATTCTAAGATGCACGCAGTCAAAATTGAGCTGGTACTCTTGATATTGTAGCTACATAAGCTGATACGAGCCTTGGGCTACTGCAGAGGCTGGCAGTCTCTGCTGTTCCTTGTTGGCATCACCAGCTAGCTGGGTTTTTGGGGAACAGATCTGACTGAAGTTTTTACTTGGCTCCCCATCTGTCTGCGCAAGTTGCAGTGCAGGTCAACAGCAGGCCATTTTCACTGCTGGACAGGCATCTGTTTTAAAAATAATTTTAATTATTCACAATAATAAATTTTAAAATTTAAAATAAAGAATTTAGATAATTTTTAAAATAATTGAAATAATGAAAAATTATTTTAAAATAATTTAATAAAATGTTTACCATCTAGTCTACTGGGAGCTGATCCTAGTGACTGCTTGTACCTCCAACGTGCAGAACTACTGTACGTAGTTGAGTCTCCTCTACAGTTGGTGTAGAGGTGATACAGGTGGGACACAGGAAGAACCGCACCACCACGGATTAAGCACAAAGAGTAAATTTAGTCTTGATATCTCATGGAGCGGTGTCATCCGGGGGGCGGCACACAAGTGGGGGCTCTGGCTCCAAGGAGCTGTGTCCTACCTAGAGAGCCCTGTGAACCTGCTGTTCTTGCCTGTGTGTTGGGAGTTCAGGCAGGGGGAGTTTTCCACTGGGCTTTAGTTTTTCCAACAGCAGGGCAGGAATCTTAGGCATGTTCGATAGGGTGCTTCGAAGTCTATCACAGGCCTGTGCTGTCTAAGCACAGATGTTCTACTTGTCAAGCACACAAGACTAAACAACGATAAGTGTGATTTATGTTTTTTCCAACACCTCCGCTGCAGGTCACTTGAGCGTGTTTATATTCATCCTTGTGGACTTTCCCTTATTGTCTCGGTGTCTCGGCACCGTATAAAATCCTTTGTGATGTGTAATTACTACACATAACTAACATGGCATTTAGGCAAATCAGTAGTAGAAAAAATGTACAGAAAACCTGACAGTATCTCTTTTCTTTTTAAATTTGAAACCATAGGCTTTGGATGCTTCTTCCTTTATTAGGACATTGTAATGTTATGTGCTAATAGACTGTCTAATTGCTCTTACAACGTATAAATAACTGTTACAGGAAGGCTATCCAAAAGCTGGCTGCACTGCTGGTTCCTCTTCATCTGTACCTTTTCACATATTGATGGAGATTGCATTTTGAATATTGCACTGATTGATTCATGACTTAACAGGGGGAAGAATAAAATGTTCTTGGCTTGAAGCAACATGTATGGTCTGTCTCCTAAGGTTAATTGTGCAGAGCATTACAGCAGGGTAATACCTATTAACTTAAAAGAATAAATCTAGTTAGGGGGGGATTCTTGAGTTGAAAAGAGTATAGTTGTAAATAGATGAAAACGTGTCCATTCAGATACTCTACATAACTTACTGCACTTACTTACTCTGGGATAAAGGGTATTTTCTGTGACTTATATTGAAATAGACATATTGTAGACTTATATAGACTTATAGACATATATATAATAGACTTATATAATAGACTTATATTGAAAAGCAGCAAAGGATGGAGATAACTTTTGCCCTTTTATTTATCAGGGACATGTTAGGCTGGATTTCCACTGGCAGTCAGATGAGGGACATCTTTCCCATTTAGAAGCAGAATATTTATAAAATGCTTGCCTTTCCTTGACTTAAGTTAAAAAATTCATGCACTGATGGCCCTGCTATATCCTACTTCTTTCCTCCCTCCTGCTAGATGGGGTTGGGGCTCACAGATGCAGTTTGTGCCTTTCCTCAGAGCTGACGTAGCTGTTGCCTTGGTGAGTGTGGTAGGGGTCTACCACCGGAGGTTGGCCCTTGGCACCCACCGAGATCAGACCATTAGAGGAGGGGAAATGTACTGTTTCCTACAGCGTGTGGGAAAACGCCACGTGTGGATTTAATGCTGCGTATCAGCTGGTTAAATCAGAGGGGTTTTGACTGCTTGTAGTACTGCTGCTTGTGACTGACCATGAAAGTGTCTTGCTCATGTGTTTGCTTTTAAGACATCACCTTAGGGAACTCAGCAGCAGATGGTGAACGTTCAAGGGGAGCACACCCATGGCACTGTGTTTAGGAACTCTCACAGGCCATCCGTTTTTCCAGGAGAGAAGATAATAGAGTGTTCCTCATTAACACAGTGATACGCCATCTGCCCTTTGGCACAGAATTAGAGATTCTAAGGTTTTTTTTATGAAAAAAGATTTTCATGATTACTAAGATGACTTTAATAAAGTTAACAAAAATTAAACAATTCATCCTTAAATCTGTGGATGGCTTCAGACAGTGGCTTGAAACTGTAAGACTGTTAGCAGTTTCACTGCAAAGAGTTAGTTCTCTCACAGATACTGAGGTAGCATGCTTAAGAGTGGTAAAATGAGCCTCCCGCTGTATGCCTCTAATGGAATTGTCAGCAGAACCAGAGAAAATCACAGCGAACCCCCACTAAGCAAGTTTTCCTTAACACTGAGAAACTTTGCAAATAGTTCCTTTCTTTCCTCCATTTATCCACCACTCCAGCTTCCCTACTAGTCACTTTTTTCCTTCTGTCCAGAAGTACAATTTCACACCTTGAAAATAGATCAATAGCCCTCTCCCTTACCTCCCACCTTGGTTTTTTTGTTGTTTTGGGGGTTTTTTTGTTGTTGTTGTAGGGCCCCCTCACGCAGCAGTATTAGAGTACTGGAGAGGGCATAGAAAAGATGTGGTTGATAGTGGGAGGGCAGGAGGAGCTGAAGTTGGCACTGCCTTTGAGCAAGGCTGCCTGGACTGCTGTTTCCTAACAGGGTGTTGTTGGGAACAGCAGTAAGCAGACCTGCTGCTCTCCAGCTGTGGAAAACCTGTTCTTCTAGTTGTGCTGATGCAGTACCTCAATAACACGCCCCTGTTGTGCACGATGGGGTATGGGCAGGAGCGTTCTTCCCGTTGCAGGACCCTGCTGACCAGCCACAAACTCTAATGGAAATAATGCATAAATTAAGTATCAGATCCTCGCATTGCATTTCAAAGTAATTCAATCTAGTAGCTACGCCAATTCTCTCTGCGTGTGGTGGGGTTGCTGGTGCTTTTGCTAAAGCATAAGGCGTGTCACGTGATTGATTATTTTTTTTCTTTTGGTTGTTTCCCCCCCCCCCCCCTTCTGTATTTACAGAACTAGGAAGTGAGAGAGTCCAAAAGGTTTCTCAATTCACAAACCGGGAAATGTACTCACAGCCAGCCATCTTATCTGGTTTCCATTTTGTAAACCTCCCTAACTCTCAATCTTTTTTATGGACTAAAGGAAAACTTTGCACCTTTGATCTATCCCACAGATGCTGCTTCAGCAACAATATAGCTGATATTAAAAGAATAAGTTGTAAAAGAATTAAAAGGAAATTAGTTAAGCTGAGGCCACAGACTTTAGTCCTACAGCATGAGCGGAGAGGACAAATGCCTTTTAATACTCATAAGCTTCATATTATGAGGCTTACAGGTGCTAGCATTTACTTCTAAAACTTCTTACAGTGTTAATCTGGAACTTAGTGAGTCTAGAGTCTTCACTTCATTACTTGTACGGAAGGAAGCACACGTGCATCTTTCTTTCAACTTCTATTTTCAGAACTGTATAAACTTGAATTGCGTTCTCCTAGCAGTTGGAGAACTGAAACCCAGTTAGTCATCATGCAGAAAGCCCAAGACTGTGCTAGAGATTGCTTCCCCCTGTTCTTAGTGCCATAGGCTACATCAGAATTTGTGAGTCCCATGGGAATGGATTTATAGAGCAAACCAATGGGTGATGTGGATACATAGTCCTGCAGTGTACAGTGGGGGTACCGCTTCGCCTCTGCTTCTGCAGACCAAGTGCTTGCTCGTAGTTAGAGCAAATCTTAACAGTTTGCCTTCTTGGTTCACCTAATGCATGCACATTATGAGTAAAGATACTTGACCTTCACTTCAAAATCCTGAACTAGGTTTAAAATTTTTATGTGGATGATTTTTATACCGGGCAGCACTGATCTGTTATGATCCCAGTAAGAAAGGCATTTTAATTCTGTAATGCTTCATTTGAAATGCTATTTATTAGAGCTAAGACTATAAAGAAAGGGAGAACAGTGTAGACAATCTTATATCCCTGTAGGTGCTGGGAACCACAGGTTGTGCAGCCCTGAAGGGGCCTCTGATCCACACACAGCATGCTGTGCAGACCTCCTCTGTAGATAAGGTTACCTCATTCTGATAATTTAAGCTATTGTAGGATTTGTCTTTGAAGACAATAACTCTATTCATCATTCCTACTGTCAAAGAAAGAGTTTTTTGTTAGATAAAGAGAAGGCCACACAGGTGGTGCAATCACTGGTGTCCCGTGGGAGCTGCCTGTGGGGTGCTCTGCTTGAGGGAGCTTCCTGAGTTTCTCCTGTGACCAGGGGATTTGTGCAGGGCATCACAGGCCTGAGAGGAAAGCTGTGTGTGCAGCACGGGCTCACTCAGGTTAACTGCTACATGGATGACTAATGCTTCAATGCACAATAGTCTTCTGGTCAGGATTACCACAATACCTCCAGAACTGGAACTGGCCAAAGATTATCCCCGTTCTTCCCTGCCCCATGAACGGTCTCATGAACAAGGTCGGGATGCTCAGGCTTTTTGTTTGGTTCTGTTGAGGGTTTTTTTGTAATCACATACCTAGAAATAGCTTGAGTGTCTTTTCTTTTTGAAGTCTGACATGTAGAAAAAACCTTTGCTGTTCAGAGATCTTGGGCACATGCTCTGTGTGACAGATACTATTTAGTTACTTTCTGTAGGGCATATAGAGTAATTAAATTATGAGGATTTACATGTAAAAGCAAATCTGAGTCATAAAAACTTGACCATTAGAGATGAGACTGATGCTACTGATCTGCTCACCTGTTTTGTTTTCCTTGCAGAATCAAGGCAATTGAAAGTCCCAACAAAGATGATGACACACAGTGGCTGACTTACTGGGTTGTGTATGGCGTTTTCAGCATAGCGGAGTTCTTCTCTGATATCTTTCTGTCCTGGTTCCCTTTCTACTACATGCTAAAGGTATGTTGGTTCACTTGAGCCCTCTCCTAAAATAACACTTCTGATATAACTGATTTAATGCATTCAAGAAAGGATAGATGACAACAGGTTCCCTTGGAATCATCTCTGGGTCACATCTTATTTTTAGATGCTGGTTACTGTAAATTAGCACTACGAAAGTGAAAGTGATCTGTTTACAGCTGATGATTTTGTGAGGCAAGAGGGGAGGTTGGGGTAGGTGGCAAGGAAGGGTCTGCCATGTTTTAGGAAAAAGAGGTGGTGTAGCTGTGCCATGGAAAGACAGTTCTTTGTCTTGGTGTTCAGGTAAATTTGGGCAAAATGATGGTGTCCTAAAGAGTGGCTCTATTTTTGCTTAAGTGCATTAGTGAAAGTGGAGAGTAAAATCACAAAGGCAGAAAAAGGAAGTGTCAACATCTGTGCTATTGGGAGCAAAGAAGGAAATCGCAACCTAAGAGTAGTTTGAATCGTACAGGTTTCATTTTTAATTTAGCCTACTTTCCTGAAAGGAAATGGCAGGTATCATGGGAGCTTGTTGCTATTGTGCCTTTGTTAGTAGGGGTTGACTGCCAACAATGATTTGCTTAATGTGTTCCAAGCTTTGTTTGTCAACTAAAGTGTGATGTATCATCAATCAACTTTAACATGTTAAATTACTCTAGGGGATAGCCAATTACCATGTACACTGTTGAGTGGGAAACATTTTAGAGAGTCAGTTGTTTAGCTCGAAGAACTGCTACCTATTTTCTTTTTCAATGGGTTGTTCTATTCCTTCTCTTTTCCTTTGGTAGCCTGGTTCAACCCCACCAAAGTTCTCAAAAGGATTTGCTTTCCAGGTATTGTGATGGGGTCGTTTAAAATTTGGTAAGGTCTGATGTTGCCACATGGTTTTTCCAAGAAATGCTGTATTTTAGAGACAGAAACCTAGTTGGACAGCTGGGTTACACTTCTGCATTTTTGCTTTTGAATCTTTGACAGGCATCAACTGTACAATCATTTGGACACTTACTTCCCTAGCTGCCTAAGAAAAAGCACATATTTAAATTACTGCTTCAAACAGAAAGTATTCTGGCCTGTCTCACAAAGTTAATTCTCTCCCCGCACACACCTATTTTTTCCCTTAATTGAAAACAAAAATATGTTTTCCATTTTAAGCTTAGTGGTTTTGCAGAGTTTTTAAGAAGAATCTGCTAATTTTGAAGTTTAGCATGGGTAAAACATACATTAAAATTTTTACTGCTTTAAGACATTAAGACCAAGCCCAACAGTGATCAAAGTGCAAGTTCTTCTGATCTGAATGGGATCCAAAAGAATTGCTTACGGGCCTGGAAGAATCTGTCCTTAACCACTGGACGCAGTTACTTCACCTTACAGTTCAGCAGGGTTATGGCCTTACCCCTTGTCTGCAGGGATGCATGCTCGCAGTTCTGAATTCATACGGTGTCTTTTCAGAGCTGTTTCTCTGACTCTGTGGTGGTAAAAGATGCGGCAGTGGTTTCTTCATGCCAGCACAGCGGCCTTTCTGAAGAGCAGGCAGGTGCGGTTCGGGGTGACCTGGCAAATAAAGACCAACCACAAGAGGCTCAGGTAGCACGGTATCAGAGGTGCCACATCTACAAGTAGTGGTGGCAACAACAGAAAGGTACTTTTCTCAGTTCAGCAAGAGCAAACACAAGGAAGCAATTACAGCTTTCTAGGATAGCTGCTGAAGGCAGATAGAAGTATTTACTCTCAGCAGTGGGTAGTAGGAGAGGTTTACTTTTGTGATACAGAGGCAGGCAGAAGGTGTTGGCTGAGAGTCAGAAAGTGTTGCTGACTGGGTAGGAGGATGGAAGTTACTCCATCTGAGGAAAAGGAGAAAGCAGCCAGCTTCTAACTTAAGTACATCCATGACTAAAACCTCTTGTAGCGTAGTTTGTGATGTCTCCATGTCTCTTTTATGTTATGAAATAGTAGCCCAAATTCACGCAAATTTCAAGCTTGCTTTCGTTTTCCAAATATGTTAAATTTTCATATTCACACTGATTTGATACAGCCTGTAGCTTCTACTCCAGACTGAGTTGTAGCTGTTCAGCATTTCTATATACCTTGATGTGCGGAGGCACTGATTGTAGCTGCTCCCATATTCCCCTAAGTCCAGAGCCTAGGCTCTGTGACCTCAAATTTTCAGCATACTAGGAATTTTTATAGGTGGGAGAAAGGCATGTTCAAGAACTCCTTCAAATTTGTTATTATATTTGCATATACTTTTGTTCTTCAGTTGAAAACTGTTTTGAGATTTCTTTGGTTTTGTGGTTGTTGGGTTGTTTTTTTTTGTAAGGTGTGCTTTTTATTTGTCTGTGTTTTTTTTTCTCTGAAGCACAGGACATGCATGCAACTCATGATTTCATGTGTATGTGATCTGTTTTTCAATACTTCTATTAATTATTTAAAGATTTCTTTAGCATTCAGGTATTAAAGTACTGAAGCCAGTGAAAGTAGTAGAGGTTACCATCCTAGGAGTGTTCCCAGTGGTGGGAAGGAAAGGAAACTCCTGACTCAACTGGGTGGCAGTCTGACTCTGCTTCAAGACAGAGATCCCCTCCTCTCACCCATGCAATTAATTACTGATTTTGACTAAAGAACTACACTCCATTAAAATGAACGCCTTGTTTTAAAGACTGCAGTTGTCTGTACGTTCATATTTGTGGTCATGTGAGGCGCGTCTTGGGTTTTCTTTGTCTGTAGAAGCTTGGAACTGGCCCTGGGCAGGGTTTCTGTGTTTCTTAGCTGCAGTCACTTCCTCTGCTGCAGTGGCAAACCCAGCAGCGTTCCATTTCGTGCTGCTGTCTTTGATTGTGGTGTCAGAACAGAATGGCTTAAAGGAATATTTGCCCAGAAGACAGAAAAAAAAAAAGAAAAGAGTTTTTTCATGGTAAAGTGCCCACCAGTAAGAATGCCTACCAGGATCATTCCAGCAAATTAGAAGAAATAATTCAACATGCAATAAGATTTGGCACTGCTAAGTAGCAACTGATGCAGTATCATTAAGTATGGTCAGAGAAAATAAAGGCAAAAAGTGGCAGAATGTCAATTTTCAAAAGCTTCTATTGTTTGGCATTTAATATAACAGGAAGAATAAATGGTACTATCTTAGGTTGTTATCTTTCACTAAAAGCTGAGAAGTATATTGATTTTATTTCCTGTCAAAGAATACCTAGCCAATTACTGTTAGTTATTTCACTTGTCCCAATGTGCAAAGTTGTTACTTATTTCTTCTTAAAGCTTAAAGCTTACCTAAAATGATCGCAAATTGGTTTGGCAAAATTTCTGTAGAAGGCAGTTGTTATCCTCAGGAATCAGTGATCTTTTTCAAAGAGACAGCCTGTCAAGATACCTCTCCAGCTTGGAATATATCATAACTAATTTCCTCTAGAGCAAGGGGAATGAGAAGTGGCCATAAAGAAAAAAGGGGTAGCAATCTCCTCCAAAAGCAGTAGGTATTTCCTTCAACTGATGTGCATCAGGGGCATTAATCTTACTGTGGTGTACAATGCAGTTAAGAAAAGGCCAACATTTTACAGGTATGAAGAGCAGAAGTTACTGAACGTTCAGTCTTATTAGGATCCCATATCCTGAGATTGGAATGAGGACGCATATAGGGAAGATATTGCAAAATACTTGGAAGGCTTGCTTGAAGAAGACTGTGTGATTTTTATAATTCAAAAAGGATTTTATTATCTTTTTTTTTCCTTTTTGTTAGACTCAAATCAGAACATTTCTTTTAAAATAGCCTCTCTTGACTTAAAAATTTGACCATCACAAGGTGATTTATTTAGGAGTTCCTTGTGTGATACCATAAAAAATAATTTTGGATTTGGTGCTGTCTTTGCAGTGTTACAGTGGGAAATCAAAAGTATGAGGGGAAGAAGAGGAGGCAAAAATGTCTGACTAGGCACAGTGGAATTCTGAAAGGATACTATGATCAGACTAGTTTCTAGGAAATGCTTTTGTGCTATGCAGTATACTGGAAACCTCATAAATAAGTAACACTTTGCTCATATTTTTTAAATGACTTTCAGAATCTCTAGCACATGCATTGAAACAACTCTTTGGCTGCTGTAGATAGTGCTGAGAATACTGGAAAACTTCTGAAATTTAAGATATTTATAAGTGCTACTGTATTTAAATGCAGAGTTTTAAGTTGCGTATGGTTTTATTGTAGTTCAAATGATTAGTTTGATTTTTGGTGCCTAACTTAGCTAATTGTGTAGTTGTGTTTTTTGTTTCAGGAGGAAGAGTTCTTCTTGTCTCTCTCTCCTCCCAGAAGTGTGTGGAAATCCTCAAACATTTAGTCATGTCTAACATCAAAACATCAAAAAAAAGACCGTGTTTTGGCTGAGGCTGGGGTCATTTTGTGTGGTGTTTTAAGAAAAGGTGGTCTGTGAAAAGCTGTTCTGCCTTTATTTTCTGGAGAGGCTTTTGACACGGCATAGTATTGTACTATTTGTGTCTGGAAGGACTGCGCAGTGGCTGAGAAAACTTGCTTAATTTTGTTGCCGTTCTACCCTGCAAAATCTCTTTACGTATACTTTCAGAGCTCAAGCAAATTTAATTATGACACTTCTGTCCCACAAATGTTGTGATCTTGCTTCGTGTAGCTGTCTTTGTATCGTGTATGGTAGTAGAATTGAAGCCAAATAAAGGAGCTTCAGTAGTAAAGACAGGTAATTGTAATACATGTGATAGCTGTCTTTCTGATCCCTTTTGTAAGATGCAGAAATATTACCCCCGGCTCTCTGGTGTTTGGGTGTTTTTTTACCCCAGAGAGCAGATTGTGCTGTAGAAGCTGTACCTAAACTGCGCCATCCAAAAGCATTGCCCTTGTCCGTGCGCAGGGTATGGCTTGGGTCTGTCTTCCCTCCTCCTCACTTCAGCTCTGGGATGCACAATCTCTTTTTTTGCCCCACTGCATTTTCAAAGCAGGGAGAAGAGAGGGCAGGGATACCTTTTGGCTGGATTTAAGGGATCTAGGGGCCGAGAGCTTCAGTCAGGCCTGTGCCACATAGTTTAGAAGTAGCCAGGGAGATTAGCAGGGTTTAATCAGGTTTTATATTTCTACCTTCCAAAAAAAAAATAAAAATACATGCAGTCTTGATACACCTGTTACCAGATCAGCTTTACTGCTACAGCTGTCCTTCTTTATCCTTATCAGTATCTATTAAATTATTCCAATTTAAAGATTCACTGTATGTAACTGTACTGATGTGCCTGCTCATGGGACCGTGACCATACTAAATGAAGAGGATGATGTACTCTTTCAAATGTGCTTGACCCTCTGGCAGAGTTTGGCACACTACACCTTGTCTCCTGCTCATTTCTTCAGCTTATGCAGATGTTCTTGTTCCTTGTAGTGTGGCTTCCTGTTGTGGTGCATGGCTCCAAGTCCTTCGAATGGGGCAGAGTTTCTCTATAATCGAATTATCCGGCCTTTCTTCCTGAAGCACGAAGCTCAGCTCGACAGTGTTGTTAAAGACCTGAAAGACAAGGCTGCAGAGACTGCAGATACCATCACTAAAGAAGGTGAGGTCTGAAATGACGTCAAATAGGAGGAATTTCCCTGAGCAACTCTAATATTACAGCTGGTATTCATCATTTGGGGAGAAAAAATTGTAAGACGATGTATGTGTAATGGAGAAGTTAAATTTGGGTGAAGATGCCAAGAAAAGAGGATTGCAGTGGATCTTACATTATAGGAGTGGAGTTATGCTAGAGTGAGTGCAAGCTGCATGAGTGGGATAAATGGCTAATTAGTTTGTGTGTCTTCCCACCGCAGTTTATATCACTGTAAACATTCTGTCTATAAGCAGGTCCAAACATCCTCACGAGATACCTTTCAGTGTATTCTTGTATCTCCTAAAATAGCATCTCAAATGCCTGGTAGTATAGAAGGGCTGCCAGCTATGTAGTAAAGCAGATCCAGTAAACAGCAACACATGAAATTTAGTATTCCCATCTGTAAGTTTTATGTATTTTTCCTTGCTCTGGAGGTCAAAGGATTCTGAGCCCACTCTTAAAGAAATTACTTAGGTTTTCATATGGTTAGGATGAATATTATCGAAGACTGTAGATTGCTTAATTTTTACTTCTATTTCCTTGCATTCTATAGTGGACCCTTGTACTCTAAAGTGTCTCGTGATAGTTTTATGAATCAGAGAAGGAAATGTATTAAGTAGCTAAAATAAAGATTTATTTAAATCTCATTTGAAAGGAAATTTATTTAGAAGATATTTCAATAGCACCTTAAGTCTCCTTTCTCCCCAGACAACACATGCAGTATCATTTGCTCTTACCAACTTAAGCAATTTTCCTGTTGGTATTTAAATGATCTGCCTTTCTTAACTACGGTTGGGAGTTTTGCTGCATGACCCTTCCTGAATCATTATTGTTAGACAGGTATCTTAAATAATGTTCTTCCTTCCATGAGGGACATGGGATTTTTATGTCCTCATTCAATCACTTACTATTCCTTTTTCATATTTTTACATATAGTGATTTCCACATACATGTATTTTTTAAGAAATCATGCACACATGTGCATGCACAGATGCATGTACAGACACGTGTTAGCATTATTCCAGCCCTGTTTCATCAGCTTGATAATATATTTCTTGCTGTAAACCTGTGCGTCCTAAATGCTGTGAGCAGCTCTGTTTCATTGATGTAATGGTTGTAAGTTAGTTTGTGCTGCTCCTTGCTTATGGTTTATTTTTTTAAATCTTTATATGGTCAGTTCTATCACTATGTCATGTGTATGTGTGTACAAAAGGTATGATTTTCTTTTGTGATGTTTCTTTTGTGGTCTAAAAGGAAATTTTTTTTGTTTTTTAATGCAGCTTAGTAACACTGATTAAGCCACTTGGGCTGTAGGCCTCTAAGATTAAACTTGCTTCTATTTTCCTGCAGCCAAGAAAGCAACAGTGAACTTGCTAGGTGAAGAAAAGAAGAGTACTTAAGCTATTAACTGGATAAAGTTTTCCTGCCACCTCCTTTATGAAGCTTGATGTTACTGGGAGCTGTGGTATGATTTCGAGAATATTACCTTGGAAACATTTTGATATATTAAAGGAATGTGTTGTAAGTTTGCTGACTACTTTGCTGTGTCTGTATAGAAAGTAAGCATTTTTATTTAAAAGCAATGCAGTGGGCAGCATCTGAAGCTTAATGAAAATATTTTATTCATCTTCATGCAGAAGAAATCTTTCAGTAATCTCTTTCTGCAGTAACATAAATAAAAAGTATATATCCCACAGGCTCTGCACTTTAGTTGTCTCTTTGTGTATGTAATTACTCTTAACACTTTGACTGTGGTGCATCTGGTAACATGAAGATATTGTATAAGGAAAATACTAGTCTGAATGAATCTTCTTTGAGTATACAGGGAATTATTGACAGAGATGGCAAAATGGATGTATTCCCCACCAATAAAGTTGTAAATGATGAAATTACATGTTCTAGGCACCTGATAATAGAGATTATTCACTGTTGCATGTTTTGTTGTAACACAATATTTGGTACAGTGTGTGTATTCTTAAATGGATAGATCCTAAATACAGGGAAGGGTAACTTCATTCAGGTGATCAGACTTATATTAGTGTGAAGTAATTTGCGAGAAATGGATGCATTGAGTTGCACAAGATTAGCACAAGATGACTAAAGTACAACTCCTGGCCTCTTCTTGCTAAATATAGTTGTCATCTGAAGTTGTTAGGAGAGTGCCTTTTAAGATCACACTCAAAAGCACAAACCACCTTTCGCTAAGGAGCGGTACCACCACAAACGCTTGTTCCTAAAGTCCTGTCGAAATATTTACTGCTTTGGGTGTCAGTCCCCAGAACTGCATCATTAATGGGATGGACTACAACCCCCATGAGATTTTTCTGCTCATAAAAATCTGCAGTCTTTTCTGACTGTGCTAAGAACAACTTTGCATGAGCACTGAAACGTCCCAAATAGAGATGCTATTGTCATTACTTCATAGATTCCTGACCAATCACTAAGAATGCAGCCAAAGAGAGTAAAGGCTTTTTTTTGGCAGTCACTGGAAAATAATATTTTTATTTAGATCTGAATCTGTATTTTCAACAAATTTAGCATGAATTACTGAGATCTCCCTGTTCTCATCTCTGTGCTTATGTTTCTTAAAGCCCACAGTAGTGCTATGACAGTTCTTAACTCACAGGATGTGCAGAAAGTAAGCTTAAGCTTTTGATATGATAAAAAGTGATTTCTGGTCCACAATATTAGATTCAAAAGATTTAATCTTAAAATTGAATTTTGAAGATTTTTTTGGCTTTCTGCAACAAGTTGGTACATAAACATTCACTGTAAATTTTCAGATGCAGGAATTTCAAAAGAATGAAGCACAGCAAGTCAGTTTTAAATTTGAGAGATAGGTATTATGAGAAGAGATGTAAAAGTGTCCTAAGAGAAAGCATTTTAAGCTTTAAGATGGAAAGCACAGCCCTTGTGGCTGTCAACTTGGAATAGGAAAGCGCATCATTTTCTGTAGGACAGCATTCAGCCTGTCATTTGAAGGGGATATCACAGCTCATCATTCCGTGACAACTTTATGTTGTGAGTGAGTGGATGTGCTGAAGGGGATAAAGTTTTCAGCAAAGCTGTAGATGTGAGTGAGTAAGAAGTTTGAGGTGGCAGACCATTTAAGTGATTTAATTTCTTGTCTTATCTTCCTCTGTCTTAAACTCACTGACCTTTTCTGTAAGCCAAACCAAATCCTAGTGCTGTGTTTCAAACACTGTCAGCTGTGTACATGGCAGTCGTGTGGTCAGTGTAAGTTAGTTTCACCTCTTGAAATAATAAGTAATAAATAAAAATAAAGACACATAATAGTCTATTTGATTTAGGTACAGAGTACTACGTAATTTCTCTAAAAGCTGCTGATAAATCTTAGGCTTTCTAAAGAGGTCTGTAGTAGAGACAGAGCTTATTTTTCAGTTCTCATATTATTCAACAGTTCTTCACTGTTATTAATGGGGATAAAACATTTCTAGCTAAGTGTTAAAACATTCTCTAAGAGACATATAACAGTTAGGCTTTAAATCAACTTCCTGTCTTTACAACTTGCTGTTTCTTGACCATCAGCTAGATTCAGTGCTTCTTTGTGGGATTTCTACTTGAAGTGAGACGACTGACTGTTGTTACCAGAATTCAATCTTGTTTGCCTCGGTGCAAGTAGGAGTGGCTGAATTTCTGCAGCAAGTTATCCTTTCCTGCAAGTCACTCCACTGGGCTGGCCCCGCAGATCAGTGCTCTTCTCAAAAGTCTTCTTCACAACATCTGTGTGCAAATGTTGGTACACGCATCTGCTCTGTGTCTGTGCTGAAATTGTAAATGTGCTAAATAAAAATGGATGCAAATAAAGAGATTCTTACAGGACCGGTATGATGCCTCAGTGTTTCTTAAGAACCACGTACCTCAACACTGAAAAAACAGTTCCTTTCAGAAGGCAGAAGGTCTTTACAGGATATTCACTTACTGGGTTTTTTTTTACACAGAACTTTTGTTACTGTGGAACTAGTAGAAGCCTCTCTAAAGGCGTGAAGGGAGTGCTGCTGCCGTGTGGCTGGATCTCGGGGTGCAGGCGAGCTGTTTTAGAGCCCCAACAGAGGGGTTTGGAGCACAGGCGGGTTCCCAGTGGTGAGCACCAGGGGCAGCTGGCTCCCAGCCTTGCTGGCCCCAGCTGGAACCATCAGCGCTTGGCACTCCTCAGAAACGTAGAGAGGAAGAATGGTAAACCACAGGGATTTCAAAGCGGTTTTTGCCCTCCTCCATTGACTTTCTAGTGTTTCATAAATGACCTAAACAAATACTGCTGCAAAGTTACTGGCACGTGCTGGGGTTACGTTCGCAGTTCTTTCTGCTGCCACTGTGGCTAGGACATTCCTTCTGCTTTATCCTACATTCCCAAAGTCAGCAAAAAGGAAAAAAACTTTGGAAGAACATTTTTCAAAACCCCACAGTGGTAACACCACCACAAGTGCTACTAAAAATGAAACCAAATTCTTCAAAGCATCACAGTTAGCAAAGCATAGAAAGCAGTATAAGGTGTCACTAATATTTGTGAGGTAAAACCCTCACAACTCTTTTTTTTTTTTTAATTTGATAAATCTAAGAAATTGTCTTGTGTTTGCATTCCGGTGCTGTCACCTCTGCTTAAATAGCCTGAGAATCAACACAAAAATACTACGCCCAGTTCCTTACTCACCCCCCACCCCCATTTCAGCCTCAACCAAGAGTAAGTTCCTTGTGGAAAGGAGGAATAACTGAGTTCTAAAAAAACGACCTCACAAAATTCTTGTAGATCATGTGAGACGGTCAGTATTGCCTGTAAACAGTGTGCCTGACAACTGTGGTGACCATCAGTCTTGTCTTTCCAGAGAACTTTTCTTTCTGGTGTGATGGAGTGAAACAGGGCTTGAGGTATCGCATCCTGGTGTCCCCTGTTCTCTCCCAGGTCCCACACGGCCAATGGCTGTGGGCCCCCCCATCGCCCTTTCTCCAGCCACTACCAGTGTGTTCAGATCTCCCAGCTTTTCAGGACCTTCAGCAAAAGGCAGCTTGTTTGTTTGGTAGCTATTTTAGCAGCTCTAATCTTCACCCAACCTGCAGCTCCACGTGTGCTGGCTGAACACCCAACTAAGTGCTGCTTGGTCAGAACAAACTGCCTGACAGGAAGGACAAACGTTCCCCTTGCCCTCCCCGGCCTGGGACATTAAATGTTTCTTCACTGAGTGATGCATTAACATGGTCTTATCTCCTGATTTGATCAGGAGATCAGGCCTCAGGGCTTGTGGGAACTTACTGTCTTTGAGACTTTGACTCTTTTTATCGGTTCAACCAAATGACTCAACAGGCTCAAAAGTTATAAAGCAATAGATGAAGAGAGTATTTTATTGTCTTTTTTTTTTTTTCTTTAGGGGGAAAAAAACCCCCACCCAAATCTCTTTGAAAAGCGAGGTTATTTTATCTTTAGAAGTAAAATAATGCCATAAAGGCATAGCAGGAAGGAGCTGAGTAACTGGGATCCAGTGACAGGATGCATGAGAATGGTTCAAAGCTGCACGAGGAGAGGTTTAGACTGGACATCGGGAAGCATTTCTTTCCTGAGAGGGTGATCAAAGACTGGAAAAGGCCTCCAGAGAGGTGGCTGATGCCCCACGCCTGACAGTGCTTAAGGAGGCGTTTGGACAATGCCCTTAATAACATGCCTTGATGTTTGGTCGGCCCTGAAGGGGTACAGCAGTTGGACTGGACGGTCACTGTAGGTCCCTTCCACCTGAAATGGTCCATCCCATTCCAACACAGCCACAGCCCGAGAAGGACACCAGGGAGCCATGCCATCTTTCAGGCTCCCAGCAGAGCGCATACGAACACCCCAGATGCAAACGCTGCCCCAAAAGGGAGGGCTCTGGCTAACAGGCTCTAGCTGTTACGTGCATGCTGGGACCAGGATGTACATACAGGCAAGTCTTTTTTTTAAGAACAGCTATTTTCCGTAGAGCTGGCCTTTGAGACATTTACTTCATGGCTGACAGGAGAGAACTACATATGGCCACACGTTACTGTCCCTTCCCAAGATAAAACACATTTAAAAGTAACCTTTTGAAACTCTCTTTCTTTACCTGAAGAACTGAACAATGATGGTTGGGCTTCTGCTACAGCAGCTACGTGCCCTCTTCCACACATCTGAAAGAACAGAGCATCTACCTCACAATAGTGCTGAACTTTCACTTTCAGTCAGGCCTTTGTTGATTGCCTTGGTCTTCAGATCTGCTGAACGCTCAGTGTTCCCATCCCTTGCTGACACAGAAATTGTTAGAAGGATTTTCACAGAATCACAGTATGATCATGGTTGGAAGGGACCTTTGAGATGCATTGAGTCCAATCACAAAAAAACCAAATCAAACCAAACCAAAAAACCCATGCACCAAAAAACACCACAAATAGACGCAACCCAACGATCTTGGGCACCAGAACACGCCCTGAAGTGCCACGTCTACATGTTTCTTAAATACCTCCAGGGATGGTGACTCCACCACCTCCCTGGTCAGGCTGTTCCGGTGGCTGACCATCCTCTCAGTAAAGTAATTCTTCCTAATATCTAATCTTAAACCTCCCCTGCCGCAACTTCAGACCATTTCCTTTGGTCCTGTCGTTATTCACTTGGGAAAAAAGGCCAACACCCACCTCTCTACACCCTCCTTTCAGGTAGTTGTAGAGGGCAATGAGGTCTCCCCTCAGCCTCCTCAAAACTAAACATGCCCAGTTCCCTCAGCCTCTCCTCATTTGGCTTGTTCTGAGCTCACATGACCGTTAATCTTTGTCTAGGTACCCAAAAAACAGTATAGGAAAATAACAAGCATACTAGCCTAGCTATTTAAAAGTGTATCTCCCGGGGTGGCACTAGCTCAGCACCCCTATTCCCCACGTTTGAGGTGCAGAGTAAGTGCCCCCGCAGTGATGAGCCTTTGTTAATATTGCCACCTACAGGAAGCCACGGCGCCTTTTTAGTGACTACACTGCTTCACAAATCCTCACAGAAAACTGTAAAAGCAAGACAGGTGAAATAAAGACATCCATAATCACCCAGTTTGTCCCTTAATTTTTTATTTTTTTTTTATTGACAGCATTGAGACCAAACAGTTGGAGTATTTCTGTATTTTTACAGCAGTCTTGTCTCCACTCCCAGTCCCACAACGGCCTCGAACCATCTTCCCTGTTCCCAGGGACTGATAGGGTGAAGGGGAGAGGGGAAAGGTGCTGAAGAAGGTGGAAAGACTCTGTGGAAGAACCTGATGTACTACCTTGGCCCGCTTGTTTTTAATCCCGAGGAACCCAGTTTATTAAAAAAATAGGGAATACGGAAATGGAAGTCTGGTTTACAAGCTTAACCCTGGCAGAAAAGGGGGAGTTGTAGTTAACCTTGTGGTGCCTCATTTAGGAACAAATATTGCTCACACAGCGTACTTACTCTAAAGCCAGCCAGAAATAATAATAAAAATCAAACTTATGAACTCATTTAGAGATGGGGGGATAAGCAGGCAGGGGCTGGGGGAAATCAGACTTCAGCTCCCTAATGGTAGTAATAATCTGATTTCCAAGCAGTGTGCTATTTGCTTCAAAACAGCCAGCTTTACCCAAAATGCCCATAGAGTTTTCTTTGTTAATTTGATCAAATCCCAGTTTCACATATTTAAAATAGCTTTACTGTTTTGGGCTCTTTGACTGGGAAATGTTTGGTAAGCAATGCCACTAAGATTCCTTCTCAACGGACGCACCACAGCACAGACAAGTTCTTAAGACATTTGATTTCTGGCCACTGTGAAGAGATAGCCCATGAGAATTAACCCCCTCGTTTTTCAGCTGTCTGTAGTCTAAAGCTCCAACTGACAACTCTGACTGACAACAAGCTCTGACTGATAACACGGTCATGACTTGGCCGGTGTCATTCCCCTCCGTTTATCACCAGGGAGCTAAGTTACCATCTTACAGCATTTAATTTTGGCAGAGCTCTCAGCTTAAATAAAGTTTCAGAGTCAGCACTCAGGAAAAGCCAAGAATAACCTGAGCCCCAGAACCCTTGGGCAGTTATGGTCTTTTATATCACGTGTGTCCTCCACTCCGCATCACACACCCAACTTGGTATTTTTCCCCACGCTGCAACTAACGTACAGTGCTTGTCTAACTCTACAGAGTAGACATAACTAACAACCTCTGATTACATCAAGTTGTTTTCTGTAACAAAAAAAAATATCTTTTCAGATAGCACCTGTTCCCACCCCATGGCATTCCACCGACTCACAGGCATACTATTTAACTAACTGCTCAACTTGCAGGTGCATTTTCAAGGACAGACACCCCAAAGGCAGCTTGTGTAAACCATTACATGAGCAGAAAACCCCAAGACATTTGTAAACAACCATGATCAATTACGGTCTTAGAAGACAGGATCCTTTTTCTTCCGAGCTGTTCTATTTTAAAAGACAGCCTACATACCGCTGCTCTTACGCTCGGATTTGGTGCCGCAGCAGTGAGAACGAGAAGGCCTCGTTCCTCCTCCCCTGCTAAACAACACAACCCAAGAACTGCACCTACAAAGTGCCAGAGGCAGGACACACAACTGACTTTGAGCTCTTCCCCAGGCAGGGGCTCTGCACAGCTGCGCTATCGGTACCTATTGGCACCCACTGCCAGGGGCGCCAGTAACGCACCCTCTATTTGAAAAAGATAGAGCTGAACGGAACAAGAAATGCAAGAAGGTAAGAGAACTCAAACTACAAGCACAAGTAACTTCAGCAGGGATATCATCAAGAACTTTTCCAAGTTTCATTACTTTAGAATAGCCACTAAATGTCTGGATACATGTGGAATGCTGTTTATCT